TTTAAAAATCGGTAACTCTGCTATTTTTTAAAATTTTGATTTTTTTTTCGGCGTTTGAAAGAGAAAACTTAGATCTTTCTTCTGGTGTTTTCAAATTAAAAAAATATTAACAAACTCCAAAATTTTAAGGTCACTTTTGTAATAATTCAAATACTCATAACTCAATTTTTCTAAATAAAATACCCCAATTTTTATTTTACTAAATGGAACAGAATTTAATTCTGCATCGATCTGTATCAACATTCCCTATACCTAAATTTAATAATTTTCAAGTTTTTTTAAATTTATTACTAGCCACACCTGTTTTCGCATAGTTTGCTATGGAAGTCAAAAATGTCAAAATTTTCTCTAAAAAACGTCAACAGTAAATTATTATTTATTATTATATTATTTGAGAAAAAGTGAAAATTTTGACATTTTTGACTTTCATTGCAAACTATATGAGAAAACGGATGTTGGTAGCAAGAGATTTTCCGCAGTCTAAACAAAAATTCACCTTAAAATTCTAGGGTTTGTTATTTTTTTTTCAAAATTTGAAAACACTAGAAGAAAGATCTAAGCTTTCACTTTTATATGCCAAAAAACTAATTCAAAATTTTTAAAAACAGCAGAGTTACCGATTTTTAAAGTGGAAGGTGAAGATCCAGAAATTAAAAAAAATATATACAGGCTGTTCGATCCAAGTCGCCCCGGCCGATAACACCTAAACATACTTTTTTTTTTCAAAAACTAAATTTTCAAATAATACTATTCATTCCTGGCTTTCTTAGAAAATGCATCAAATTTTTTTAGCACATCCGGTGTAGCCGGAAATGCTACCAAATTTAGTTTTTTAAATGGAACACCTATGTTTTTGTTGCTCGAAACAATAATAATTTGGATGAAAAATACGGTAAACCACTATTTATTACATTTTACTTTACATAATGCACTCAGAAAACAATTAAATTTTTTTTAACTCAATTAATCCAAAAACGCAGTAAAAAATACATAAGAGACACCCTGTACTATATTTTCGAAACGATAAATATTAACTATAGTGAATTTCTGAATTATTTAGTTTGAAACAGATCAATAGTGAGTGGGACCAAAACCCCCTCCCCTTTGTTAATAAGTCACGATCAGCCTGCTTTTCCCATCGTTTGGACGTTTTCGTCGCTTTTTCTCCTCTTTTTGGTGTAATTTCCTTGACCGTGGGAGCCAGTGGGCCAGCGGCGTCGGCGATGGGTGGGCGTCGTACCCGAAAGTTGGTGTATGCGTGCGAAAGGCGTGCCAGACGTGAGGATCGGAATGACCCTCGACCTCGAATGGTGAGAACGCGATCTTCGCATATGCTGTGGAGGACACTTATTCGAACCGATCGAGGAAAAAACACCCATCATGGAACGTGCAATTACCATAAATCTGGGAAATTGACACTATTTGGGGGGAGGGGATAATTAAATGGTGGGCGGGGCCAATGGGTCGAAACAAAAAATACATACAAATTAAAAGCCTTCTATAATTTTCAATTCAAATGATCACATGACATGACATGACATGGATAATTAAATTATTGCAAAAGTAACCTTAAAATTTTGGGGTTTGTTAATTTTTTTTTAATTTAAAAACACCAGAAGAAAGATCTAAGTTTTCTCCTTCAAACGCCAAAAGTGGAAGGTGCAGAACCAAAAAATTTTGAAAAACTCCAAATATTTCAATTTAAGTATAGGGAAAGCTGATAATCTTGAAAATATTTTCATTTAAGAGGACTTAATGGATTATGGCTATGTACATATCAATTTTCAAATAATACGATTATTCGAACTCCCATACTTCTAAAGTGGGGTTTAGACGGAACACCCTGTATAGTTCCAGTGAATTTGATGTCTAATCTATTAGACTATCAATTGATCAAAGTTTAGTTGGCTAGAAATAGGGTAAGGCAGAGGAAGTTGCTTCGGTGGGGACTAAATATTTCAGTGATTCGGATAAATATTTTTTATTAATCAAATCACTGATTACACATTTTTCGAATTTTTGCCTAAATGAAAATTGATAAAACTTGTTTTTGTACAATTCAAAATTCCAAAATTCCAGATTTTTATCAAAACTGTCAAAGTGTCAAAATTGGACTTGGCACTTGAAAAATAAAATAAACTGATCTAATATGCAGGAAAAAACTCGTTAAAGATCACAAATCTGACCAAAATTGGGTTATTTTTTATTAATTTGGATATTATTTTGTGAAAAAATTTTATTCAAACAAAAAATTTCAAAATTGGTCATTTTTCCGAGAGTAAAATCCAATCCTGAAACAATTTTCAAATCAAGAATATAAAACACAGCACTCGAATTTTTGAACGATTTTGAAAAAATCATAAATGGATTTTTATCATTGAAAACAAAAATTTTTACTAGGCTTTAATAAATTTATTATTTTCTTGCATCTTTTTCTGAAATTATTTATGATTTAACTATTATTTATCCTAAAATAAGTTAATTCGATCAAAATTCAGCAAAAAAAGTACTTAACAAGACTTTGTTGTCATTTCCTCAAATGTTATTTTAGAGAAATTATTTTTTTTACGTGTTAATAATTCGCTAATTAAAATATTTCAAAAAACATAGCCACTGTTTACCTATTCCAAGTTTGAAATACAAAAAAAATGTTTTTTTTTGATTTCGCTTATTATTTCATAGTTTTTGGAAGCAATTTAGACAATATTGCCCACATTTGGAGTGAAAGCTGTCAAGATTGCAAAAACTAGTCTAAAACGACCTATCACTACGCCACCACGCCCCTGACCAATGTCTCTCCTCCAATTTTTTTAAGAACTTATTTTTTGTGCGAGGTTTTTAGTCTATTTAGAACAATTTTGAAGTTTTCCATTTTTCGATTTTTGATAAAACTTTCGGTAAATTTTTTCGGTACCCGGAGCCGGTCTACCGCAAATAACTCCGGAATTAGTATCAAAAATTCCTTATGTTTGTTATCATTGGAAAGCACAATAAATTTCCTAGCTTATAAAAAAAAGATCATTGTCCTGTGATAAATAATTACTGAGAAAATCGCTAATAAAGGCAAAACTAGTCAAAATCCATTCTTTGTTATAACTTGTAAACTGTTAGGAATTTTGAGGTTTTCTCAACGGCAATTGATTCCTCGGAACATTTTACATTTGCAGAGGCCAAAACATTAACCGTTTTTAATATATTATAGTCGAAATTTACAAAATAAAATAAAGTGAAAATTTTTGAAGACCTATTCTTAACTCTATTATTTATTACTCAATATCTCAAAAACTATGCATCGTAGAGTATTTTAACT